GCGAGAGATGGGGGGGGGGCGGGGGGGGGGGGGAGGGGCCGGGGGGTGGGCAGGGGCTGGGGCGACGGGCTGGGGCTGGGGCGACGGGCTGGGGCGACGGGCTGGGGCAGGGGCGACGGGCTGGGGCTGGGGCGATGGGCTGGAACCAGCGAGGGCCATTTTGGACTGGAAAGCCGCAGGGGCAAGCAGCCTCCCAGGCGGGAGGCCGCGACCCAAGGCATGTGATTCCCGAGGGAGCCGGCTGGGCGCTGGCCCGCTGGGGCCGTGGCCAGACATCCCGCACGCGACCTTTTCTGGGCCCGGCCTGGAGCTCTGGGGACTGAACCATGGAAGCAGGAGCCCTGTCCGCAGGTGATGGCTCCACCCCTGCACTCTTCACATGCTCTGGGGCTCTGCCCCGGCCCTTTCCCAGCTCCCCTCTCAGAAAATGGCCCGACAGGAGCTGCTCCAAGCCCACGCAGAGTGCCGCACGTTCAGCGCTCCGCCGGGGACTGTTCCTGGCACCTGAGGGCTGAGGACGGGCAGCTGCCACTGCACGCTTTGCCACCACGTCTCGTGCCCGCGGAAGCACTTCCCTGGGTGGCCTCATCTCCAGCCTGGCAGTCTTCAGGTGCCTTGAAGGGCAGCTTCCCTGAAGCCCAACCGGCTGTGCTGGCTGGGGCTGATGGGAGATGGGCCAAAGGCTCTGGAGGGCTCTGGCCTGCCCCCCTCCCTGCCTTACCACTGCTGGGAGTCCAAGCTGTTGGAGCTTTTGCGGAGGATTGTGGGGGAGCTGGCCCCTGAGGTGAGGCTCTCGCCGTCCTCCGCCTCCTCGTCCTCCGCATCCTTCTCCTCATCCTTCTCTTCGTCCTCCTCCTCGTCCTCCTCCTCCTCCTCCTCCTCCTCCAGGCACTGCAGCTGCTGACTGCGCTGGCGCTCCTGGAGACGCAGCTGCTGCAGTTTGTTCTGCGAGAAGGACAGGGCAGGGGGTAAGGCAAGCGGAGGGTGAGGGCGCAGCATGACGGGGCGGGCCCGTTCCAGAGTGGGCCAGCAGCAGCACGGGACCCCAGCACCAGCGCTGTGTCCGTCGACCGGCCCGCGTGCCTCGCGAAGGGCAGCGCAGAGACGTGGCCGAGAGAGAAGCGTGGCCTTTGCCTGGCGCAGCCTGTGCGTTCGTTCACAAGCCGTGCCGCCCGGTGGTGCCCCGGCGGGTCGCCTGGCTGCCCGCCACGCACAGCTGGGGGCCGGGACATGTGCGCATGAGGCTGCCTCTCGGCAATGGGGAAACCCACCCAGCCCCTCTGTTGGCCAGGGTCTCACCCCGCCACCAGAACACGCCGCTGCACGAACTGGTGCCTGAAGCAACTGTGCTGTGCGCCTCCCGCCCGCCTGCCCGCCTGCCGTTCCCTTTTCTTCGGACCGGGAGCCCAGGGGCGTGCACCCCTCCACTGTTGATCTGGGACACTCTAGGAGCCTTTTTGGGCCAAAGGGCGGGGGGAAATGTGCATAAAGGCACCTGGCCATGGCATGCTGGGGGCTGTAGGCCTTTTTGTCTGTCTAAACTTGCACAGCACTGCACCTAAGCAAATAAGGCCGCTTTGGGGCTCCTCCTCCCCACACACGAGCGCAAGACCTTTGTGCGGAAAAGGGTGGAGAGGAAAACCCTTTGCTACTGGTAGAAGGCTGGTGAAACCAAGCCGGACTCCGGTCTGAACTTCTGAACAGCTGAGGCACTGTGGACAGTTACAGAAAGCTGGCGTGGGCGCCGAGCCCAACCACCGCTGGGAGCCTGGCCTGTCTCCCTGCTGCCCCCCCTTTCAGGTCCTCCGCACCCACCTGGGCATTGCAGAGCGCGTCCACCCAGCTCCGGCACAGGGCCTGCCCGCTGGCCTGGAAGGTGTAGGCGCTCACGGCACTCTGGAACTCGTTGAGATAGATCAGCAGGAATGAGCCTGGCAAGGACACGCAACAGCCCAAGGTAAGCTAAACCGGTGCTCACAGGGTCACAAACCACGGAGGGGCGAGCGCAGACGCCGAGCTGGGCCTGTGCTGCCATGATTCCACTGTGGGACGGGGCACCACACTCAGCTGCCTGAGAGACTCAGCTTGATCACAAGGACGTGCCACAATCCCAGTGGAAATTCCCAGTTCTCCTGCCTTCCCAAAATACTGCTTTTCCTATGCTGTCTGAGAGTTCTCTTTCTGAGAGGAATAATAGAATGGGCATGGGGAGGATCAGAAAGAGAGGAACAAGCACGGAAGCGGCTTGTTCCTCGAAATAAAGGCAGCCTGGTTAAGCACACTTTGGGCTCCTAGGAAACAAGTGATGGATTGCTCGGTCTGGGTCTCCCCAGGACACTGGATGGTTTTAGTTCAAGGTTATTCCATCCTGTTCCCACTTGAACTTGCAACTTTTTCAAATGTAGACATGCACATGTTTTCTGTGCATTTCCCCCCAGTGTATGTAATAATGGACACATGTTTAAGTGTATGTATTTTCCCCAGGTACCTTAATGCTGAAATGCTATTTTCTGCTCAGTTTCCCCCAATATATGCTTTTCTGGTTCACATTTTCCTGGTCTGCTTTGGAAAGCTCACAAAAACATGGATTTATGGGTGCAACACTAATTTGGTTCCCAGGACAGGGCATCCCATAATGGGCTGCGGTGCATGATGGGTTGCTGCACTAGGTGCTGCCACTCTGGTCCCTGCAGCACGGCTTGAGGGCAACGATCCACCCTGGAAAGCCACGTGCTGCAGTGAGGAGTTGCTGGGCCATGACGGATTACCCTGCTGCCCAAGCTTGGGAGCCTGACCCCCTGCCCCCAGGCCAGAGGGCGCACTCGGCTCGCACGCTCCTTGGCGAGAGCAGGAAAGCCGTAACCTTCCTGCCAAGCAGGGCCCGCAACTGCCCCAGATGGCGAGCAGCCCTTGGCGGCCCTCAGGCATCCTCACTGCTTGCCCCGTGGCTGACAGGCATTCTGAGCTCACCATGGGTTTTCCCTCGGACAGTGCAAAAGCTCTCACAGCTACAAGCAGCCCCCCTAAAGCACCCTCGTCTCAAAGGGTTGCTAGGAAGTTTGAAAAAGCTTGCCCCTTTATTTTCACACAGATTTGCACAGTTAAAAAAAATCCCTTTAACCACACCTGTGCCGCTGTGGGGGTCCAGAAGCCGCTCCCAGTCCAGGGCGCAGTGTGTAGGGAGGGCTGTGCCTGCTGGGGAAGCCCGCAGGAGCCCGCCCTGGCATTGCCACCGAGCTGCAGGTGGGCTGCTTTCTCCCTTTGGCTCCATCCTATGGCCGTCAAAAGGCAGACGGTCGAATGCCACCAGAGACACAAGGGATCGTACCTCACGCAAGAGCAGGTGGCTCATTCACCCTCTTCACGGCAAGATCCCCAGTTTCTTGTGGCGATTTTGGGGCACTTCTGCCACCTCAGGAGCATACTAAAGTGTGAGCCAAGTGGAAGCATGCATTTCTGACAGCTGTTGAAGTTTCATGTTTACACTGGAATTTAGAAAGGGCTTTAAAAGCACTTTTTCCAGAAAAATGTGTAGGTATATAGATGCACAACAAATCAATGCAAAGGGGCCAATCCAGTCTTCCCTGGCAGGGACTTCCAAAGCCTGGGAGAGGCCCCAAGGAAACTATCTCTCACAGGCCTCCCCAAGCGTGCCTCGACAGATGCAAGACTCGGGCAGGCTCCAATGGGCGGCCTCTCGGCTAGTCCAGTTGCAAACTGCAGGGGACTTTATAGGCCACAAGACGAAAGAAAGTATATCAGCTGTCCAGAAAAGCTTGCATTATACCTAACATGTCTGAAAGAGGCCCCTTATTATCCTCCAAAAGCGTCACCAAGAACCTTTCCAGCGCTTCTCCAGTCTTAGCAGCCCCCAAGGAAATAAGTCCTCAGTGAAAGGCAGAGGGCATAATAGAGTCCTTTTTGGGACACCTGAGAATATTTTGGCCTTGTTTCGGAACAGGCAAGGGTCTTCTCCCCTCGGTGCCTCCTTCACAGGTCACAAACGCCACTCTGAACTGTGTGTGGAAACAGGGAAATTGCCACAGTGGGGGAGCGACGTCCTCACCAAAACCCACCACTTCCACCTCACCTGGATCCTTAAGCGTACGGCACACCACTTTGTCAACCAGCAAGGGCTGCCGGATCACCTTTGTGCGCTCAGCCTTCTTCACCGGCTTGGTGATGAGGAAGAGATCCGTGAAAAGAAAGCAGTAGACGTCCATCTAGAGAAGGCGAAGGTGCGCACGGAGCCAGGAGGGGTCAGCAAGGTGGGGGCTGCGGATGCTCCCTCCCCTTGCTTTCGAGAAATACCCTGCTGATCCGTGTCCACATTTTTCCCCACCATGAAATTTTGTTTAATTTCAAAATAAAGAGAAGAAATTAACTAGCAATAATTCTTAGTCTATCTCTGCTTAAGCTTAATTATTTGGGCTGGGGCACTTGTACTCAGGAATGGTTCTGGGGAGACAGAAGCACTGCTCCACGTTGAGGGGCTTCCGCATCCCTCTTCTGAGGGCAACAAAAAAGGATGCCCCCCCAGCCCTCCGCTGGCTGGAAAGGGGGCGGGCTTTGAGGCGGCAGGCCAGTGAGGGCTGCAGGATCTGGGCAGGATGAATGGGAGGACAATGTGAGGGGAGGGGGCCCGCGGGAGGCCTTGAAGAGGCCTCCAGGGCACCTGGACAGGCCGAGGGGCGAGTGGGGAGGGGGCACGTGTGCTCTGTGTGCCAAGGTTTGGGGTGAGGGGTACGGATCCTGAGGAAGAAAAGCGCTCCCAGCACACCCCGGCCCGGGCACTCACCTTGCTCTCTTTGCCTTCTTTCATCCTCAGCGCCCCCTCCAGCAGGAGCTGGCGAGTCTCCTCGGCGGAGGTTCCCGGGATGGGGGCCGTCAGGTCGAGGTGCAAGAACTCCTTCAGGATCTGCAAGGAGGCAGCGCATGCACAGGTCAGGCGCTGAGGCCCGTGAGGGCCCCCCAAATTGGGCCGAGGCCTGCCCGGTGCTGGCAGCATCCAGGTTTCCACAGTGGCTAACCGTGTGCCTTGGCTGAAAGCCAGACTCCATGCGAGCAAGTGCTGCTCCCCGCCCGGCTGCCCAGGGATCCGGGGCATCTTGCTCGGAGCCCTCGTGGCTAGTAGCCAGTCCCAGCCTTCAGACGTTTGCCCAGCGCCCTTTGAAGGTGACCCACCCTGCTGCCCCCACCGCACCAGGGGGCAGCCAGTTCCGTAACAGAGCCACGTGCTGCTTGAAGAGGTCCTTCCTTCCGTCTGCCTTGAATCTCCCACCGAACTGCTTCATGGGACGACCCCATCAGGTGCCGACAGGAGACGTGCTCCCGCCCCGCATCCTCAGCACGCACCGCTCGGGGGAGCCTATCATGGCTCCTCTCGCTTGCTTTCCCCCCGTCATTCGGGCAGCCCCTTCCGGCAGTGCGGCATCACTTCTAGGCGCCGCAGCCAGAGCGGAGCGGAGCCCCGTGTGCAGCCCCACAGATTTGCACAGTTAATCCGATGCAGCCCATGCCGTTTTGAGGCCTGCTGGGCCTGCGCGAGCTCCGGTGAAGGACCCGGTCCCCACCGCCCACGGCACCTTCCGCTCCCCCGAACACGGCCACAGCCTCCCCTCACCTTGTCCACCTCATCCGTGCTGCCCTCCACTGCCTCATAGGCGTCAATGCGGCTGACAGTCGCGGCCAGGCGCTGGCGCTCCTGGCGCTGGCGCATGCAGGAGTTGACGTGGTTGATGAAGCGCTCCACCGAGCTGATCTGAGGGAGGGAGGCCCGTCAGAAGCTGCCAGCCGGCGTGGACGCCCTCCTGGTGCGCCAGTTCAAGGGGGCTGCCTGTCACCCGGCAGCGTCCTCCTCTCAGGGTCTGGCCAAGCACCTCTGCGGAGCTCCAAGGGCCGCAAAGGACGGCCATTGCCTGGCTGCTCCCTTGCCCAGAAGTCCTGGGTGCCCTCTGACCACGGAGGCCCCGTGGGGCCACCACAAGCAAGGCCAGCAACAGGCACCTCCTCCTCTGTAACCTTCTCTAATCCCACAACTACCCAATTCAGGGTCCAGCGGGAGATTGGAAACCCCGTAACTCAGTGATACATTGCGTGAAGACCCATCCCTTCCCGGTGCCTCAAGCTGCCTGCCTGTCGAGAGAGAGATCTCTCCCTTTGCTTTCCAGGCCTCAAGCCTCTGGACTGCATCCCCTTTACTTGCCTCGTTCCTCAATTCCAGAGGCCCTGCAGGATCTTTGGGGGCCCTTCTCTACCTCAGCGATTCCATGTTTGAGATTCGGGCAACCGGAGCTGCGTGCAGTATCGCAGGTGCTCCACGCTGCAGGTTTGGCTAAAAGCTCCCGAGGGGGATGTACCAGTTCGGGGCACCTTTCCCACAGCCCTGGCATGGGGCTCGCTCCGTCCACAATGGCTGCGCAGTGAGTGCCGGAGAGGGCAGTGGGTGGGAAGCGTCCTGAAGGCTCTTCTGCTATCTTCATTCCCGGCTGCACTGTCCTTCCTGCCACCACCCAAACTTCCGTTCTGGCTACACAGCCTCAGCTCAGCACCGGGCGGCATTCAGCACAAAGCTGCAGAGGCTTCCCTGCACTCAGTCCAAGGAGCCCCACCCCAAAGAAAGAACGTGGTCCTTGCCTGGGAAGCTGGAGCGCTCATCTTTGGAAGCTGGACCATAACTGAAGGTGGCACATGGATTTCAGGAAAGCCCTCGGGTGACTGTGGGCCCTTCCACAGTGCAGCAGCACACCCTCCGTGGACAAGGCCCTCTCACAAGCATTCAGGGTGGATGCTCCATCAGATGCCCCCCCGCCCCGCCCAGCACTCCGAAATGGCACAGTCCGAGCAGACTGCGTCACCTGCTCTTTCAGGATGCCTAGCACTCTCTGGGCAAGACAGGCGGGGCCTTGGGAAGGGGCTCCCATGCGCCATGACCAGCCCTTGGGTCCAGCGGTCTGGGTGCGCCCATCACTGGGCCTCTTCTCCAGCCCCTTGCTCGTGACGGGATTGCCCCCAGAGGATGGGTGTCCCCGGAGCCTATGCCCAAATCAGGCTGTGCCCTGTTAAGAAGACCCAAAATGCCCCAGTGGGTTTGCTAAGCCAGACTGGCCTCCGGAGCGTGGCCCCCCCATGCGGCTGCTTGCACAAAAGCAGGCCCTGGGTGGATTTGGCCTGGCAGCGGAGAGAAATGCGCAGCCCTGAGCCAGCCTGGTGCGGTGGAGAGTTAGCTGGACTAGGACACGGGCGGCCCAGGTTGTGCTCCCCACTTGAAAATGAAGCTCACTGGGTGATCTCGGGATCACCTCATTTTCTCCCTCTCTGCCTGACCTACCTTTCAGGGTTGTTGTTAGGGTAAGACGGAGAGGAGGTGCTCCAAGTGTGCCCCTGCACCCCTTGGAGGAAAAAGTGGGGCATGCAGCAACAAATGAATGAACCCCAAAGCATTTCTCACAAGGCGCCCCCCCTTCCCTCTTGCCCCACTACCATGGCGAGGATGGCCTCCCGCGTGTGCGGTTCCTCGGTCTTCTTGAGCACCGACTTCAGCAGCAGTGGGTATTTCGTCAGGCGCTGATGCGGCTTCACCAGCATATCGCTCAGCTTCAGCCGGTTGCACTGCTTGTGCTTCTCGGCCCACTGCAAGCAGGAAAGGGCCAGTCAGCACCCACAGCCCAGCTGGGATCCCAGCTCCACAGGGGCCCACCATCTGCCCCGGGGACCCCCAGGCAGCCAGGGCACGGCCTCCACCTCCTGCCAGGGCAGCCCTCTTTGCACCCTGGAGAACAGGGCCTTCTCCTCTGCTGAGGCAGCAGAGCTCATCTGGAGCCAGTCCAGGGAAGGGGCCCTCCTTCCGCTGCTGGACGGTCTTCAGAACCTTCTCTATGCTGCCTGTGAGCATTTCTTTTCCTTACGGTGATCTCGCCAAACATAAACATTTAGGAAGCCCACAGACATGCCTGGGCACTCATCAAGGGACACCCAATGGGGGAACAAGGTCCTTGGCACCGCTGCCTGGTCTCCACCCTGCCGCCTTTGAATGCCTGCACATCTTTTGGTGCCGCTCCAGGGGCAGAGGCACCATGGGCCTCCTGGCAGCACTCAGAAGGGGCAGCACCTTTCTTCACAGGCTGCCACGTTTAAAAAAAACGAGAACTCAGTGCCCACGACTGGCTGCTTGCAGAAATGCCATGTAAGCACAGGGGCAATGGAAAATGCAAATGCAAACAAATTAAAGGTCCACACAAAAGAGAAGATCCCACCTCCCGCTGGGATCACAGGTGCAGGGATGGGGAGCCCGAAGCCCCAGAGTCAAATCCAGCCTCCCGGGCTGCCCCTTCCCGCAGCTTCAAACCCATCATTTCACAGTGCCCTGCCCTTCACAACCTACCCGCTCCCTTAGCCGGGCCTTGCTGGCAGAAGGGGGCTCCGGTGTCGTTTGTGGACAACCCTGCCACGTGGGTGCTGCCCTTTCTTGCCTCAGCCCTGCCCCTTTCACCTTTACCTCCTTCTTTCGCTGTCTTCTCAGGTTGCCCTCTGGGCGGGGCCTGGCCCACCCCTGGGAGCTCCGCGGAAACAGAGCTTGGACCAAGCTGGAGCGAACACGAACATGCTGGATTGCTGCCTTCTGCCCCAGGCGGGTCTGTTCCCCATGCATGGAGGCGGAAGCCAAGAAGTGCAAAGAGCTCTGGGTGCAACTCTGTCCTCGGCCCCCCCTCCCACCGTGGACGTGACGTGGGGGGCACACATGGGGAGGGGGCAGAGAGGCCGCCCAGCCGCCCTTACCGTGACGTAGATGCGGAACAGCTCGTTGTCACGCAGCAGGTTCCGCATGTATTCCATGCAGCCTTCCTCCTCCATACAGTATCGGATGTACGGCTTGAAATGAGCACCAAACTGCGACAGAGACACACAGAGTCGAGTGCAGGCCCACGGAGGCCAGGGCAGGCCGAGAAGGGTGCTGGGTGGGCGCTCAGAGCCAGCCTCGGCCACAGCGTCAGCGGCCAGACTGGCCGCAGCCAGCTGCCTGCCCCGGAGCCCTGCAGAGCGACGGGGGCTGCCCCCTCCCCAGCGGCCTTCCCGTGCCTCAGCGCTCTTAGGCACACCCACTGCTGACGGCCAGCAGCAGCACCCCAGCCACCAGCTGTTGCTCACGAGAGGCCGGGGGGCACCCCAAGCGGCTCATCTCGTGGATCAAGACCAGCTTGCTGCTGGGTGGACCTCCCTCCCGGCCCGTGGCCTCTCCACCCAACAACACGCGAGCACCGCTCCCCAAACTCCGTGGCAGGTCAGCCCCGGGATGCAGCCCCGGGGGCACGAGAGCTCTCCCTGCTCCCCGCCCAGAGCGCCACCATGAACGAGCCAGCTGGACTCGTGGTGCCGCAGGGGGCACGAGGAGCAGCCCCTCCCCGCACGCCCGGGCCCTCTGTTGCACCCACCGTCTTGAAGCCCTTGAGGAGGTCGGTGGGGTCCAGCAGCTGCCGGGTCGCCCTGGCCCTGGCCAGCATGGGTGCCATGACGCTCCGCCACAGCCTGCGGTGCAGCCGGACGATGTCGCGGGTGTTGCTGAAGAGGCGCTCTGCTTCCACCTGCAGGGAGGCAGCAGGAGTGCTCCGGGGACCAGCTTGGGACTCCCCTGCGCCTGGCGCCCGCTGCTGCCCCCCACCCCCCTTAAACAAAAGTGAGGCACTTTCTCTGCCTGCAGCCCCTCTGCGGCCCTCGTGGTTGATGTGGCACTGTTCTCCACAAAGCTGAGCGGGCAGCAAAACCAATTCCCGTCACAGCCTGGCAAATTGAAACTGGGGTGCTTCCTCCATGCGGCGAGAGCGGAGCCAGCCGAGATGCCGGAAAGCCACCCGCGAGCAGGCCGTGGCGGCCTGTGGGCACGGGCCACAGAGCATCTGTGAGGGAGGGCTGGCTCTCCGGACACGAACGGCCTCAGCCCTCCGAGTCCCATCGGGCCTTCCGGCAAAGGGCCAAAGGAGTCCTTACCTCGCACAGCAGCCCTGATTCCTGCAAGTTCAGCAGACAGCAGAGGAAGAGCTGTGGGGGAGCAGAGAGAGGGGAGGGTCACTGCACTGCGGGGCTTGGCCAAACACAGTGGGGGGCTCCAGTGTGTGAAGGCTGCTCTGTGACCGAGCTTCAATGCCAGGTGAGCTGGGTGGCAACTCCCTCTGCCCAACAGATGGGAAGGGCCTTTTGCCTGGCAGGCAGGCAGGCAAGGAGCCCCGGACCAGGCGCGGCGCCCCTAAACAGACGTTGTCTGTTGCTTCTCTGCGCAAGCAGCCGCTCTGCTTCGTGTGCTTCCAAATTGGCTGCTTGAGGCAGAGGGGGCTCAACTTAGACAGGGGTTTCCTTCTCTCCGGGGGCAATCCTATTTGTTCATTTATTCATTGGATTTGCATGCCACCCCACCAGCTGTAGGCTCTCTGAGAGGCTTATCCCAGGCGAACCCTGTGCATGTTTTGAGAGAAACATGCCCCTGCACTCCCAGCACTTCCGTCAGCAGCGCTGCCTTCAGGCCGCTTCTCCTTCGAGATGTGCACAGGATCGCACCCTAGAGACGGGCGCAGAACCTCAGGCTGAGACAACACATCAGGCACATGGGGCTTCCGCTCAACAGCTTGTGTCCAGGGTGCTCAGAGAACTGCCTACTCCCACATGGGCCCACCTGGTCATTAGGATCTGGCCCAGAGGCCCTTGTTGAGGGGCCATCCCCAAAGGAGCCGAAGGCAGCGGCAAACAAGGATCGCCCTCCTGGTGGTCGCACGCCATTTTTGAAATCAGCTCCCCAGTGAGGTTCGCCACGTGCCATCACGACAATAATTATCCAGGTGTTTTAATAATTAAGTCAATTGTGTTGGATTAATTTTTACTCATAGCTTGATAGAGGTTATAGAATTCTTTGTGATGACTTTGTCCCCCATCCTGGCTTAAGATAAATCTACCATTTCAGTAGATTTTTAAAAAATATATAAATATTCTTTATTGTGTAATTTATGTAAGTTTTGTTGTTGGTTGTACACCACCTGGGGAGTCCTGTATGAGACTATTGGGTGAGGTTTATAAATCCAATAAATAAATAAATTTTAAAAGCCCCCTTTCCCCACCTACAGGTTACTTGTTTCCAGCCAGTTCGGGATTAAGGAAGCTGGAGGCCCTGGGCTAGCAGACCTCGGGAGGCCCAAACTTAATAGCATCTGACTATGAGAAACAAAACCTCCTTCTCTTCTCTAGCTACTCAATGAAAGCAGAACATTGCTAGAATGTTAGCATTAATAAAAAGATTGCCCATACATTTATAACCTTTAGTAAGTTTACAAAAGTATGTAATTCATGAAGATGTTCACACAGAACATTCAAAGGAGAATCATAGATATGTTAGATATTTTATGTCAGAACAGGTTTTTTGAGCTTTTTTTGGATGCAATCTTATCAATTATATCATTAAAATCAGTTAGTCATAGTTTATCATTTTCTATGCAGAGAATGCTTAAAGCAAACAAATGATCTTGGGAGATTGTTGACCACAGATCATTCTTTACCCTTCTTAGTCTGGAAAATGATATTTTGCCTAGGTCTGCCCCTAATTTTTATTGTTATACATGAAATAAAAGTAACGGTATTAAAAAAAAAAAAAAACAGCAGGAGGCTGAGCCCCCCCCCCCAGATTATGAGGCCCTCCCTGGGGGGCTTTGCTGGAGGGGTTGCTTAGCCATGCCAAGTACTGGAAAGCAGCACCATCCCCCAGAGCGTCTCCAAAACCGGAGTCCGGCCCTCTGAAAAGGAGCCGCATCTTAATGCAAACGGCAGCTAGCTGCAGCTGGGTCAGCAGCAGTCTGTGAAGCTCTGTTCCCGCTGCCCCTGCAGGCGAGCTGGACTATAAACCCCGGCACCCTCCAGCCGAGGGCCACGGGCGGGCCCAGCACACGAGCCAGGCCTAGGCCTGCGCCTGCGCCTGCGCGGCGCCACGCGAGCGCGGGAGCGGCACTCACGTCGGTGATGACGCGCAGCTTGCGGATGTAGGACGCCTCCGTGTGCAGCAGCTCCCAGATCGCCTCCTGCTGGTGGCACTGCCGGCGCGCGAGAGCCTCGGGGGAGAGCGAGCGGCGTCAAGGCGGGGTCCTGCGCGCGTTTCCGCGGGGGGAAGCCCTCCAGGCGGTCCCGGCGGGCGCAGGCAGGGAAACCTCCCCGGAGCTGCAGGGCTTCCCCGCAAGCGCCTAGGTGTGCGCGGGCCCGCCCCTTCCCGGGCGCTCGTGGCCCTCCCGCCGCTCCCATCGCAGGAGGATGGCCGAGCCCCTCCCCAGAAACTGCAGTGAGGCTAAAAAGGGAACTTCCCCCACCAGGAGACACCCAAAACTTTCCTTGTGAACTTAACTGCATGACAGTAAGGCACACTTCGGGGGGGGGGGGGGGGGGGGGGGGGGGGGGGGAGATGTTGTGGGACAGCAAGATGGAGGAAATTCGGATAAAACCTAGTAATTCTTTAACTATAGATTTGTGTCCAGGCATTCTGAGCCACGAACCTTGCAAGCACCTAGCAATGTCCCTGGATCTATCCCAGGTCTCTCTTCCCAGGCAGGTGCCCCCAAAACCTGCCCTGCCCTGCCCTGCCCTGCCCTTTGCCCTCAGCAACTGCCTTTTACAGATATCCTACCCCTGAAAAGGGAGGCTCACTTGCCACAAATTTGCTTTACACCCCCCTTTCCATAAAGGGAATATGAAATAGCGATGATTCTCTCATCCTGAGATGCAGACTTCTGCAAAGGTGTGCATCATGTGCTGTGTGAAAAGGGGACTTCCTTTTCTGCATCCCAGTTGTTCCGAGTAACACAAGCCTCGATGGGGCAAGGCTACCTTTGCTGCTTGCTGCACTGGGGAGGCGTGCATGATCCAGGCACACGGGGTAGAAGCCAGGAGTGGTTTTGTTTCAGGCAGAATAGAGCACAGTGCGCGCCCCAGGGAATGCGAGATGCAGTCAGCTGAAGTGTGACCTGTTCCAAAGTAGTGAGCTGGCTTGGGGTGCTATCAAACTTGGGGATGTTAATGGTGCAGTCCTCTGCACATTTGACTAGAAAAAGCCCCGCAGCTCCCAGCAGGCCCCAGCCAGACTGTGTGCTTTCCGAACATGCACAGGCTGCGGCCACCTGGTGCACTTCAGATGTTTTGGGCCTGCAGCTCACTTCTGTCCCAGCCCATGGGGCCTAATGAAGCGAGTGGAAGGACACTTGCTCGACCTCTCTCCACTCCCTTGGGGAGGCAGAGTGCCACACATGTGCATGCCACCCGCACAAGCACACGCGGACACAATGCGCCCTGCTGCTGAAGCAAGCTGCCCTGCTGCTGCTGCTCCTCCAGGGAAGGCTCTTGCTGCCAAGGCAGCTCAAGCCTGGCGCGGCTTTCTGGAGGCTGAACCAAGTGCAGTCAAGGCGCGCTCTGCATCTGCTCCATCAGGACCGACTCCCGGGGGGCAGGCCTACAAGGGGACCCAGCCCAGGCCCCATGGAGCAGTGTCCACCCAGGTGGAGCCCCCCTCAGCCCTCACCTCTGTCCCGTCCATGATCTCCTGCCAGCTGCCTTCCAGGCGCAGGCTGGCGTCCTCCTCCTCCTCCTCCTCCTCCCAGGAGTCCTGATCAAAGCGGAGCTGCTGTGGGAACTTGGGCAAGCCGAAGAGGCTGTAGGCGTGCAGCCTGTCCTCCAGCTGCTCTATCCTGTCCGCCTCCTGCCAGAGCACAGAGAGTGCCTGGGAAAGGGCCCCTCTCCCAGCACGCACCCGCCTCTGGGAGGCAGACGGACGGGGCAAGAGAAGCTGCGCCCGGCACCGTTTCCCCCACGCCATGACCCGCGCGAGGCCTGCCGCAGCTGCCAAGGGTCTCCGGGGCGCTCAAGAGAAGCCCCCGCTCTGGTTGTGCACCCCTTGGCATCAGCCACCCGGGCAGAGATGGTCCCTGATCATGGCAGTGTCAATCCTATCAGGGAGAGCCCTGGGGATCCGACCAAAGTCACCAGCCCATCTGGGAGGAAGGGGGCGCAGGGTGTTTGCCCCAGCCCTGCTAGGCAGCCACTTGCTTTTCCCCCCTTCCCTCCCGCTGCCTTTTTCCTTCCATGTTGTCCACCTCCTCCTCCTCCTCCTCATCGGCCTGGAGACAGAGACTGGCTTTTTTCCCCTCACTCTGGGATCCTTTTTGGTCAAACGGCTTTATGCAAACAAGCCAGCGAAACTGCGGTTGCTAAAGGGGGCTCAAAGGCACATGATGGTGGGCAGGACATGCTGACCTGTAGGGGCCCCTGGGGCTTCAGACACAGGCCCACCTGGAGAAGCGGGGGACTGAACCTGGGGCCCTCCACGGCTCCCCTGCAGCACCCGATCCTCTTCCCCGGGGAGGGCGCAAGGGCAACAGCTGCCCCGCGCTTGCACTGCCCAGCAGCTGGAAGCCTGTCTGAGCCTCCTCCAGACAGTTGCGGCGGGGGTCCATCCCGTCTTCCCGCCTGGTGGGGGGCATGGGGAAGGTGCCGACCTACCCGCACACAGGGGCCGGCACTGTTGCCAGAGCCAAAGAGGCCACTGAAGCGGCTGGCAGCCCGGTTCTTCCAGGTGTCGACACCATTGCCAGAGAAGGCGGCTTGGATGGGCTGGACGGGACCCCCATTGGGAATGCTGGCGTCGCCCAGAAATTCGTTCATGTTCTTCCTCTGCCTGGCAGGCGCCTGAAAGGCAAAAAGGGAGGAGAAGGGGGAGTTGAGGGGAGACAGTGCTGTAAGAGAGGGGCAGACAGCCCCCGGGCTTGGGAAGCGAGCCCCCCCCCCCCGCACCAGAGGCATGAGCATCGTCTGCACCGTGAGGAGAAAGGAGAGCTGCAGAAGAGAGCAAAGGAACATGCTTCCTAGCGCCCCCCTTGCAGACTAGTGGCCTTTCCTGAGCCAGGTGGAGAAGCACAAATCCCCAACAGCAGGCTCATCTGCTTGCTGTTCTATTTGTTTGTTTGGAATTTTTGTATGCCATTCCATTCTCATAAGCCTCCAGACAGCTTCCAGCATAATGAACAAAAAATCATAGAAATAGATACATATAAAATCTGGATTCACCCTGATTAAAAATTTCAAACCAATAAATAATATTAGCAATTATTAAAAAATTGGTTAAATAAAAAGGTCTTGGCCTGGCGCCAAAAAACAAATAACGACAGCGCCAGGCGGACCTCTCTGGGGAGCGCATTCCATAGATTGGGCGCCACCGCAGAGAAAGCCCTCCTCCGAGTACTCACCCTCCTAATTTCCTTCACGGAGGGTTCCCGGAGGAGGGCCTCTGCCGCGCTCGAAGCCCAAGGAGGCCTCTGGAACCAGCCTGACCTCCCCCACCCCCAATTCCAGAGCAGCCCTGAACAAGCTGGAGCTGGAGCAAGCCAGCGAGGGAGAGCTTGTACACCGTCTGCCAGGGGTTTGCTTTTCATGCTTCACCACAGCACGCATCTCCCTGGCAAAGAACGTTAGGCTGACTCCTGTTTGCATTCGCAAGACTGCAAGGCGACTGGGGAGGCCAGCTAAGGGAGCTGCTGCCGGCTGAGGGGCCAGCAAGGGGCCCAGGTCAGAGCCGGGAATGCAAGAGGGCCAGTTCGACTGTGTCCCTCTTCATGGAGCTGCCGCTTTGTTTTGAAATCGACACGCAAAAGGTTGGGGTGTGAGATCATGATCTTCCTTTCCGAAGGAAGGCTAGGAAAACTTAGACTGTCCTGGTGAGGATGGGAGGCCCCCTTCGGGGCATCCGCAGAACGCAACCCCTGCTGCTTGCTGCTCACATGCGTCATTTCTCTCCCCCATCAATATGCTCTCATTAATGGCTGGCAGATTCGCGGGGAGGGTCTCCCTGTGGAAGAAGGGACACCCCAGTAAAACGTTCCCCGACTGATCTACTTATTCAGCCAGTGACAGCCCAGAGCCCCAACTGCAATGCAACAACCGAGTCTCCACATGCATTTTGAGCATGCGGTGTCCTGAAAGCAGGGAAGGACTGGCTCCGAGGGCCCCAGGGCAGTGGGTGGCCTTCCTGAGTACCAGGCCACTCCAATCCGGCCTGCAGCTCCGTCCACCTGCTGCCTCCAGGCAGAAGAGGCGGCGGCAGCGTCCCTCAATTCTGCACCATGTGGGGATCTCAAATCTAGTCAATTCAGGAGAAAATCTGGCTGAGATGGAATCAAACCATTCATTGATAAGAAGGGAATGTGTGTGAGCCTAAACCCAGGATGCAGATGGTGACGAGCCCTCTTCCCCAGGACCAGCCGACTGCCAGAGCGACGAGGTGCATGCTGCGGAAGGAGACAGTGGCCTCCTTAGGTGGTGGCCATCAGTTCTTCCCTTTTTTCCCTTAGTCCCCAATTCCCATGCAATTAGAAAGCCAATACATCAGGAGGAGAAGGCCCAACCCACTCCCTGCTGTGCTTGCTTTCTACATAAAGGGAGTGTCTTTTTGTTGTTGTTTGAAATAGGGAGAAACAGACAAAATATGATCCCCGCCACAGTCTGCAGAGATACAGTCTGTTTGACTGAACTATTTCATTCAGTTGCAGGTATAAACCCAGCCAGGGGGTCTTTCCAGAGGATGGAAAAGAAGAACAGGATGAAGGGAGGGAGAAGGCAGACGGAAGGCATGCTCTCGCCTGCTCTGTGATGCTGCTTATTCGAGGATGGCACCAGTGAAACTGCCTGGGATGTAGCGAGGCAAGCCCTGACTTGGTCTGTGTATTTTGGGAGGGAGGAAAATTCCTACACAGTGGAAAAATAAAAGAAGCTGTGGATGAAATGTACTTTCCAGGATCTTCTGGTCATATTGGTTTCTTTAATTTGTTTGTTTGATTTATAATCCTCCCACCCTCCACCAAGCATCTGGAACTCAAGCTGCCAAGAAACAGAATTTTAAATCAAAATTTTGTTAAAACAATCCCCAAACGAAGACATTAAAGACGTAATGAAACCATGAAACTGTAAAAGAATCACACCAACATCTAACCCAACAGACCAGCACACAAGGCCACCTGCCTGAATATGGCAAGTAGACAAGGCGTGATGTGAGCCTCCCTAGGGAGGGTGTTCCACAGCACGGGGGCAGCTACCAAGAAGGCCCTGTCTCATCTCTCAAATGCACTTCTGATGGCTGGATGCTCAAAAGAAGGTGCTCCCCAGAAGATCGCAAGGCCCAGGCGTGCGAGAGGGCAGGCTGGTCCCACACCATAGAGGACGTTGCATTCCGCCTGGAAAGCTGCCATAGTGTGGAAGTTATGCATCACCAGAAACTGGCCCCAGTCAGCTACCTGGCAGGAGCCACCTGAACCAGCCAAAGGTCCTGAACATTTCCCAAGAGCCTCCCCACAGAGCAGTGGTGGAATCCCCCACAGAGACCACCGCTGGATTCAAGGCGAGTTTCGAGGAGTGGGACTCGCGCGGTGCAGCTGCAGGTGCGGAGCAAGGCCGTGTCCACCCCTTGGCTGCAGGGCTGCCTCAGAGCCATGCAGGCACAGCCCTTTCCCCTCTTTCTTTGCAAGCACATAGGTAAGAGCCCCATGGGGGACTCCCTGGGCCAGGTGATAAAAACCCGAAATCTGTGGCATATGCCATGTGAAAAAAATACTGGCTCAGGCACTGGTCCATTTGACCTAGTCTTTTCTGATCAGGTTCAGAAGCAGCCACTTGCCCAAGTCTTGAGGATAAGCCTTCCTGAGGATAAGCCCTCTTTAAACTATGGTGGATTACACCTGAGCCTCCTAGAAGTGAAGGACAGGCCTGCCCCAAGCTGCAGTCTCGTCTGAACATTGGCCAAGGCCCAGAACGAAGGGGCTGTGGGGCTTGAGGCTGCTGCAAAGCTAGCAAAGTTGCCAGGGTGAAGAATCTGCCCCAAGCATTTCCCCTGAAGAGGCTGAGCAGCAGAGGCGTCTTTCTCCCACACTCCCCTGAGCCCAAGCCTGAGCCCAAGGAGCAGGAGCTGCCCCACGCCGGCTGAAGCACAATGCCCCAGGGGAGTGCTTCAGTCCCGCATCACAGCCGTACGGCCAGGCGCCTTCTCTCTCCCAGCTTGGCCCAGCAGCTGGTGTGGGAAAACTCCGCCAAGAGTCCAGCCAGTCCAGTGTGACTGCTGAGAATCGCCTGCGCTTCAGTCATGCTGCCCGGCTGCAGGCAAGCGGCCGTCTCGCTCCTCCAAAGGCACTCGTGCGCATGCACACACCCAGATGTCTTCTCTGCCACTCTTGCCCTGGGCCAGCAGGTCTAGTAGGTTTTTTTGAAGAGATACAGGCAACCTCTTTCATCAGATGCAAAATGCACTGGATTTGTTTTTAATGCTTCTCTTCCACCATTTCTCAAAATAAGCATGGGAGACAGCAACCCATGGTAAAACCACACAGCCACCTCAGAGACCACGGGTTTGACAGCTCTCAGCCAAGAGGAGAACAGTGGCCTGAGGGCATGAGCATCTCTTGGAGAGGACAACCATCACCTGAGAAGCGGAACGTTCTCTTATGGAAACAGAATGAAGAAGCCGAGACCCACCCAGGTCTGGACAGGCTGGAAGAACATTTCACCCTGGTTCATCCGACCAAGAACTTCCATGCATTGTCAAAGATTCTGGGACATTGTTTTTGGCTGCCTCCTCCATGCAGATGACTCCAGTTTTGCAGTGACGACACTTGAGGAGCAGATCTTTTCAGTACTGAACATCACTGCAGAAATGCACTTGTATTTTTCTATTTGTGTAAATTAAATCTTGTCCTCACCATACCCTGCCTCTTTTCCTTTCTTTCTCTGTCAGAAAGTAGCAAGACGAAAGAGGAAGAGAGATGGCACAGCTCATGCTCACGAGCACAAGCACCATGCAAAATAAGGGAACACCTACGAAAGACATGCGTGCACTCAGTGCGCCCTCACCCTCTGCATCACAAGGCGCACTTGCCGGCCACAGGAGATGCCACCCAGGGGGCCCGCTGGAAACGAAGCTCCATCTCAGTCCTTGGAGGCGCCCCTTCCCCGCCTGTCCCCTGCATCATTCCCTGCTGGGGGCAGTTGTGGGGGAAGGTGCTCCAGAGAGTTTCTGCTCTCTCTGTTTGTCCTCTCACCGTGCAGAACAAAGCAAGGCGACAAGAAACCTGTAAGCCTAACTAAGAAGTTGCCAGAGTGCGTTGCCCAGAAGTTCCTCGCAGGCACGCAGAGCATGACAAGAACTCCACAACCTGACGCACTTCGCAGCAGAGAATCTCCTGCATGACTTTGCTTTTCACCTCTTCCCCACGTCCTCTGAGCTCAGGGACTGACTGCCTTCTTCTTTTCTCTGTAAACTGCCCGGTGGGCCTTTCTGGCAGAAGGACGGGGGAACAAGGCCACGCACAAGCAAACAAGCAGAGACATCCATCTGCCTGGAATGCTGCTGCTCCAGGGCTCCTGCCCCCTGCAACTGTGTGCTCGGTTCTCCTGCGAAGTGTACTGCAGGTGGCTCACAAGGGAACAAAACAGCCCAACTACAATGAATACAATGAACCAAGGAAGCTCAAGCAGCTTTGAAATGGTGCAAGTCAGAGCAATGGCAATTCAGCCAGCCCACCCAAAATAGGGTTGGAAAAACCTGCAAAATGGAACCTTAGAAAGCAAGAGAAAAATATCTGTGGGCACATCACCACCTGTATTTGGGCAAATGAGAAGCGTCACCGAGCAGCTCCACACATTTCCAT